GCGAGCTAAAAACGAAGGCACTGTAATAAAAACCTTATCGATGAAAAAAAAAAACTAATAAAATCCATTTCTCTATTTGCATATACTTAATATTTTTGGGTACTACTTTTAGTATGCTCTTGGTCAGAGTGCTCGCTTTCCACTACGCGACCCCGGGTTCGATTCCCGGCCGAGCCAAGACTATAATGTGAGTTTTCCTCGCAATGACACAGTATACGTTGCCGTGTGACGATGAGAAAACTCACTTCTCAGGTTGAGAATACCGGAATACGGCGTGGGGATGTCTACGTGCCAACCACACGTACCCTCTTAACCCATGACCGCGAGGGAGGGACCTCGCCGGTAAACCGGAGCCCGTCCAAGAGTTGTTGCGCCAAGTTCATGCATACTACTTTTAGTATGCTGAAATTGAGTGTATCGCAATAAATATTATACATTTCTAGGGCGTATAGAGGGCTCATATGTTCAAGCAAGGAAGAGAATTCGATAATTTTCCCAATGAACACGTGATGAGATATTTCGTACGCATGACGTTTGCTCCTGATTGGCAGGATTGGCTTTACGCACTGGTATTTGTATTAGATCGGTCCCTGCCAAATACTAGTGAACGATTAAATTGCTTATTGAGTCAAGAATAAGTGGGGGGGGGGGCGATCCACACATGTGGTGACAAAAGGCCGAACTAGTCATGCGCTCCTCCCTCTCTGAAATATTTCGAGTGGTACTGAAATTTCTCAATCACAAAAAATTATTAAACATGTGTTTAAAATTATATGTTCTTGTCGAATAGCATATTGGAAACAATAGTAGAAAATAAAACTAATGAAGAATAATGCAAAAGGAGCTTTCCATTTCACGAAATTATCATTACAATTATCCTGCATTCGTGGGCATCAGTAGTTCAACTCCAGTGATTGGTTTTCATTCAGGTGGTAAAGCTCAATATACGAAAATTAACTTTCATTCTATGTGTAAAGAATTGAAATACCAGCACGTACTCATTTACGCTTCCTCTGGCTGCTGCGATTGATACGGGCAATTCTGCAATTCATGTGGTTGATTTTTCCATACATTCAAATGTTAAATAAGAGCTACAAATGAAGAATGATTAGTCAAAAGCGGAAATACGAACATACGCTAAGAATGCTACTTTAGCTTCTGTTTACAAATACCGAGTGCAACTGTCATTCGTAAGAGATGCGCAAATTGTGTAAATAAACGCTTCAGAACTTCCTATTTACAAGGTAAAACGAGAAAGAAATGGTCGTGTTAATGTTATACGCTTCTTCGGTAGATACTTATTCTAAATACTGGTTAGCAGCTTTGGCTCTAAAAAATTTGCACACAATTCTAACTTAAGAGAATGGATTTTTAACCTTTTCTTTTTTGAAAACGAGAATCATAACAATTGTTTTAGTACGGCCGTGTCACACTTTCCGTTTAGCAATTCTGTGCAGCTGTCGGGCACAGACTTGGCAGCACTGCAGAAGGTGCAGATACACTTCAAAATGTTCGTGTTAAAAATGACAGTTCGCGTGTCTGCTCTGATCAATCCCAAGACCATGACACAAGACAATCAATAGTTCAATATTTCTGTAAGCATAACGAGAGTAGCAACTACTACTCTATGCGGAATTTCAGAGCACTCTCCGACTGTTCAATTTTTAAGAAAATTTGTAGCAATGCAATTTTATTTCTCTGGAGATTAAGGATTTTATCTTTCCCAAGCTGCTTCAGATGCATAATATTACTGAAAGAGTTCATATGATATAGTTCCATCGAGTAACGTGCCTCTTATAGTGTTCACATCACAATATTTTGCTCTATTGCTTACTTTGCAAGAGTGCGTGCAAAGACATCTATTAACAAAAGTCTGAAAATAAAATTCGTAACAGTGATTAAAGGCACCTGTCAATAGAAGTAGACTTTTCCATTACACTAGTTCTCTGTATGCAACAATCAGTTTCGCATTTCCACCGTAGTATAATGTTTGCTATGAATAATAATAATAATAATAATAATAATAATAATAATAATAATAATAATAATTATTATTATTATTATTATTATTATTAGTATTATTACTTGCAGCTAGAATTAAACAGTAATCGAGTTAAGTGGGGGTAAGGTTCCCATACGTAGCAACTAAAGAGATTTTTCTTCGGCAAAAACAAAACGAAATAAAAATACTTTTAAAAAAAATTAGTAGCCAGAAACATCCAGCTTAAGTGTTCTGACAACCATTTACTGGACTGGAGATGAAAAAAAAGAAATAAAATGTGAAGAACTTCATTTTACTGCTTTTTAAAACGTGCTCCTGACTTTTCGTTTTCACGTTCCTAACTTTCGTTTAATCGAAGATTTTTGCAAAAGGATAGCACAGAAATGGTGTAAAACTAACTTATGTGATAGAATGTGATATTTTATTAACCAAAATACATATATTACCTCTTAAAACCTACGCAATATTTTTTTTATTTTATACATTTGGAAACTGTTACAAAAATATCTTAAGTAGACGCATAATTCATATCAAATATTACGATCGTGACTTTTCTATATAAAGTAGTCACCTAAGATTTATTTTATGACTGACGCAAAAGTGCACTCCTCATGCAACCATTGCATGAAAAACATGCGGTGTAACTTATACATTCTAGAGACTCCATTTCTTTATTAAAAATGAAACAGATCACACTCAAAAAATCATTACTGTAACCATCATCTGTAACCATCAAGCAACTGCCATACACATGTCAAACTCGCAAATTATAATTATCATTGCTTATCAGATTACATAGTGTTCCTCATATCGATTCGTGGACGGAATTAGAGCATACCAAGCAGTCAAATTAGGACACACTGTAGTTTTTGGACATAAAAATTCCGGTTAGCGGGACAACGCGTTACATCAACTTCAACCTATGCACAATTTCCTCAGTGTTCAGATACGTCAGAAAAAACGTTTCTTTTCTGTTGAAATCAAAACTTGTGGTTTCCGAAAATATTCCGTTTTTAACTACCTGCCAGTTCCCGAAGCGAACACGAAGTGTTCTCAGTAGTCAGTTGAAGTGTAAACAAGAGGTTCGAACAGCCGCTTTGGCTGCCAATCATACTTAGATCCGATGGGGGTAGAATTAGAAGCAATATTACACAATTACCCACTTTACTATTACCCCATCTATTTTGTTGAATTATAATGTGTCTCCATGCTATTTCTGAAGAATAAACAATGTGTACTTATTGCACTGTCGATGAATCAAAAATGTTATTGAAGAATGTTACTAAGGGTCGGATTAATATCACGCGGGGGTCTGAGTATGGCCAAACTATGATGTCTCTAATATATTATAACATATTGACATATGTATGACATATTGAAACATCTGTAACGAAACTAATTATGAAAATAAACCACAACTTCTACAATTTAAAAATTAATATTAAAATATATTAAATTCGCAAGAACTAACAATTGTTTAAAAGCAGTAACAAATCTCTAAACAAAAATATTAGTTATGATTTGACAACAATTATTGAGACCGTCATTTGGAGACGCCCAGAGCACGCCTTTTCAATTATTAATCCATCCCCGAGTTACAATACCTACTATAAAAAAAGGGCACGCAAAAACACGCACACGGATAATAGCGAAAGTGGACGGCATAACTAACAAATCCACGCCCCAACCCCCTGCGAGCGGCCAAGATGCTATCAGTCGGCGGGCGCGTGTTAACCCACATGCGTGACAGAATGCGCGAAACGGGTCTGCGGGAAACCCGTCCCGGCGTCGCGATCTGGTTTTCGCTCGTCGCCAACGAGTTCACGGACACGCGCGACAAAATCCCCTGCCGCTAGGCGCGCCACCGCGGTCGCCTCCGTTACTTCACCGGGTGAAAGTGCGACACCGCCTAATAAATCTTCCGGCAGATTAACGTTCGGCGCGCCGCGACAAATTAGATTCCCCGACGTGATGCTTGTCGTTGGGTTGGCGTCGGCGTTCCACGTGGGTGGTACCCGGCGCGTACGCGTCGTTTACGAACGACGCGTTTATCGTACACGGGTAATTTTCCTGTAAATTTACGGCAGAGCCGGGCGTTATATGCCGACGAATTTACAATAACCTACGTAAGGCGAATGTTGGGAGTTTCTGTTTGTTTTGATTTTGAAATTTTAATTACTTGTTGGGTGACTGATTATGCCAAAGCACGTAATATTGTTCACTCACACTCTTTCTTAATTTTTTTGAACTATCTTCTCTTCACGACTCCTTAATCCCATCTACCATCTACTTATATTATATTGCGAATTATGTGTCCGCTATCCACCACAAAGTGCTAGTACCTGGAAGGAAGCGTTTCCGAGATAAGTGTACTTCAATGGAAGCGTTATCAGCGTGGGATTACGTTAGCAGTTGAATTATACATAAACCAATGGTTTAATTCCTTTCACATGATTTTTTCCTTGCACCGAAGAGATGACCCTTTCAATTCTCCTTCTCGTGCACCAATAACGTAAATAATTCTACCAGGTACGATGCATGTGTAATGGGCTATAACGAAAAGGAAAGTATATTTTCGAAAACTACATGAATGGTATCAATGAACTTCCATCATGTTCTGTTGTTTGAGACGTCAGCCAAGAGTAATGTTTGCCTCTCCGCAGGACTTTACTCCAACTTCGATTTAGAAAATAAATTAAGCAAGCAAGAAACTAAAATAGTATTTCGAAGACTGAAATGTGTTTCCTGCGCAGTTATGTAGACCGCTACGTATATGGACAAAGCACTCTTCTCGATAACAGAACCCAAGAACGGTACAACGGATAACCCTGGGAAGAGTACATATAACCTTTAATCTGTGTTTAAATAGGAAAAAAATACCCCAAAACAAGTTTTATCCTGTGGAAGTTGTTGGGAAATTTGCTTTACATTTTAGTGAATAAGGCGCCATTCTTGTCATTTTCGAAAATAATCATTTGAACATTTCTATTATTTTCAGGTGTGATTTCATCTACCTGACCGAAATTGACAACACATTTCAGTTTTGGTACATTTACAAAAACAACTTCATTATCTTGAAATAAAATTGGAGCACAACAAACGTATGTACAGTTTTCTTCTGCTTAACCTACTGTTTATTTATTTATTTACTTAGTATATGATATATCTTTGTTTAAAGAAGCGTCCTATTTGTAGAACGAATAATTCCATTTACAAAAAAATATTTCTTAAAACAACGTGCAGTGGCTGCACAGTAGAATGAAGTGGATGATTGTCATCTGAAATCTACATTAAATTACTTCATTAAATTACTCAAGCCAGAGCACCTGGACATAACTTTGTATCAGGCGTAGTGATCCACGACAGTCATAGATCGCAGGTTTGCAATTTGAAGTCGGAAAGATCAGAGCACCAACGCCATGAAATCAATGCAGCTAATATATATATTGCGACATAACCTCGCCAAAACATTCACTACTCGTAGAGATGCCTGTCGCGCTATCAAAAATGAAGTACAGCTGAAACTGGACCTGTCTTCCAGTAATCATACCCCCGTACCGAATTTTTCCAGTTCTTGCAAGTTTCGAAGTCGAAAAATGGTTTACCTCTGACAAAAATTGCAACTACATGCTTGATATTGTCTTCTCTTAACAGCGAGCCACACACGGTGGACATTACTAAAGGGGGGCCATTCACTGGCGTCTGCGGCTCGCGAGATAACCTGATCTGCTTTTAAATTAATATATGTTATAAAATTACAATTACGCACCTAAAATTACGTACGTCTTAAATTAATACTTAAGAAATTAATACGCTTCCGCTCCCTGGTGTGTGGTCGATAAAACGGTCGCAGCGGCAGCGAACGATTTACAACCGACGCATGCCAGAATCGCGATTTGCTCACGCAGGTTCATGGACAGCCCTACAACCCCTCAGGATTTCTCTGACGGGTCATTAGGACACCACACACGAGATTGAGATTTGATTCAGCCAGCAGATCGCGCGATCCGTGTCAAAACCGTTTAGAAACTTGAATACCAACAGCAGGATTCGAACACATAAACCTTCAGCCAGAGACGCGAATTATGTGGCCCTCGCACTACCAACCTCACCCATCTGGGTTAGCATCTCAAGTTCACTATGGTGGAAATTCTGACCCGAAGTGGCCGGAGCGCCGAAAAATGTATTGCGAAGGGCGGATTGGATGACAAGGATCGTCCCGAGCTGAAAAAGTCCTACTGATTTGTTCCTACGAGAGCCACAATTAATCCATATGCACGTCCCTTACTTAAAATTTACACACTTAGAAATGCTCAAATCACAGAATCCTTGTCAAAGAAGTTAGAAAAGAAAACTTGTCCTGCAACATCAACAGGATTCGTCCAGATTGTGCTACGTGTATGGTGTTCAAATCAATATTAATTTTCATTAGAGTTATTTTTAATAGGGCTATTCCGTTCCAATTTACTCTAATTTTCAGTTAATGTATGCCTGAAGTTGGGTTTAGACCTAAAACCCGAAACATCACTAGAATACAACATTTACTACAAATAATTCCATGATTTTCTATAAATATTTGGGTCGTTATTTTATAACTTTAAATAAATAATGATTGTCTACAATAAACAGATTGCATTAATTTCACTCCTATATTCTCCCTCTCCCAAAAAGGTTTGAACATCTCCCACTAGGAAAAACTGCTAAATCGAGCCCTGTTGATTACCCTCAGATAAAAACGTAAAGCCCATTCACTCTTCATCAGCGGGGAGGCGATTATCCAACAGGGACATGTAGTCGTAGGTTTCTGCGGCCAGTCATGTGCGTGATCTGGGCTGTCCAGGTGACGCCGCGTCGAAGGCTGTATTGCCGACGTTTCGACCATCTTGTCGTGGTCTTCCTCAGGGCT